TGATAGCCCACTCTCTGTGGTCTGGGCAGCTCTGCAGGAAGGCTATCTAGGCTAGCTGTGTATTGTCTACTGTGGGACTGACACGGATTGGGGACCTCCTTACAGTTTTTTTCAATTGTTTACACACAATTTTGAAAACCGGGTTCTTTTTTTCACAATATAAGCACAATTATCCAAACACCAAACTGAATTTGCATAATTCCTACATTGTTTGCAAAATGACACACTTCAGTCAAAACATACACCCTTCAGTCAAAACATATACACATATTTGTGAAAATGCTATTAGTTTTCATTTAACCAACACAGTCCTCAATGATCAGACACTATTGCAGCCAGTTTCACACTGCTGTGATAAATAAAAAACACATTTGTACAAAAACTAATTTTAGGAAATAGCATGTGCTAGATTTTTGGCCACACATTGTTATGTAAGGGATAATTTAGATGAAAAAAAAATAAAAAAACAAAAAAAAGGTGACAAACCCACAACGTTCTTCATGATTAGTTTGAGATATAGGGAGAATGTACACAAATTGGCCTACTATAAAATTACCAAGCACTGCACAACACTGATGCTGCAGACTGAATATTTCAAGTATTTATTTCAATACTTACAGTATTTCTTACCATAATCAGTTACAGTAATCAACCAACAATGAAACAAATAAAATCTGTAGACAAATAAAAATTACTGCATGAAGTACATACACTTTGACTCTGAAGAAAAACTACTGTAAAAGCAACAAGAATACTGTAACTATTCATCATCTCTCCGTCTGGCTGGATCAGGCCATAAGATTTCATCCACATCACAGGCTATGTCTTCATTGGCAAGGCACCGTTGGAAGAATCACCTCGTGACGAATCCACTCCTGCACAGAAGCTTTCCACACCTGGTGGATGTGATTATCCAATTCGTTCATTAGTGTGGTCATTGGCAATCCGGGGCTTTGTAATGACAAGGAAGTAACCTCACAATCCTTATCTGTGTCTAAGGTGTGAAAATGTGTGTAGAGTTTTACAAATCACTGTGTGTAATGTTTTGCAAAAAGGGTGAAGCAGACATTGTGTGTAATGTTGTGCAAATCTGTGGAGGTGTTTTGCTCATTGGAGTAGAATTTTGCAAATTGTGTGGACATTTTTATTTTAGTGTGTAAACAATCGTAAAAAACTGTAATATAGCCATCTGAGGGTGATTATATTCCAGCCATTGTTTTGGCAGGACGGGCTTACTTGAATAGAACTATCTGTGGTTAGCTGTGTCCTACTGAAATTGTGGTGAGCACTCTCATGGAGTGGTCTCCTTTCCTAGAGCCTAGCTATCTGAGGATAGCTATGTGTTAGCTCAGGGATTGCTCCCCTGCTTAGGGTTTTAATTAGCGGTCTTTTGAGCTATTACCTAGACAGTGTTATCTCCCCTGCTAGGGTAGTAAGTAGATAGCCTTCCTACAGAGCTGGTCAGACCACAGAGAGTGGGCTATCTAGGCTCTGACGTGGATTGGGGACCTCCTTAGTATAGCCATCTGAGGGTGGTTATATTCCAGCCATCGGTATGGCGGGACGGGCTTACCTGAATACAGCTATCTGAGGCTAGCTGTGTTCTGCTGCGGTTGCGGTAATCCCTCTTATGGAGTGGTCTACTTTCCTAGAGCCTAGCTATCTGTGGATAGCTATGTGCTAGCTCAGTGATTGCTCCCCCTTTTAGGGTTTTAAGTAGCTGTCTTTTGAGCTATTACCTAGACAGTGCTGTCTCCCCTCTTTGGGTTGTAATTAGACAGCCCACTCTTGTGGTCTGGGTAGTTTCAGTCTGGTAGCCCTTCCTGGGTACATAGTTTTCTGAGGATTTCTATGTGCTAGCTCAGTGACTGCTCCCATTCTTCGGGTCTTTAAGTAGTGGTCTCCTTGAGCCCTTGCCTAGACAGTGCTATCTCCCCTGCTCGGGTAGTACGGCTTACTTAATTGCAGCTATCTGAGGCTAGCTGTGTGCTACTGCATTTGCGGTGAGCCCTCTCCTGGAGTGGTCCCCTTTCCTAGAGCCTAGCTATCTGAGGATAGCTATGTGCTAGCTCAGTGATTGCTCCCCTGCTTAGGGTTTTAAGTAGCGGTCTTTTGAGCCCTTACCCTAGACAGTGTTGTCTCCCCTCTCTGGGTCGTAAGTAGACAGCCCACTCTTTGTGGTCTGGGTAGTTTTCAGTCAGTCCCCCTCCTGGTAGCCCTTCCTAGGTACATAGCTATCTGAGGATATCTATGTGCCAGCTCAGTGACTGCTCCCTTCTTAGGGTCTTTAAGTAGCGGTCTCCTTGAGCCCTTGCCTAGACAGTGCTATCTCCCCTGCACTGGTATTAAGTAGATAGCCGAGATAGCCTTCCTACAGAGCTGCCCAGACCACAGAGAGCGGGCTATGTTATTCTGGTCCACAAGCCTTCATAAGACCTTAGGGACATAGCTATCTGAGAATAGCTGTGTTCAAGCTCAGCAGCTACTCTCCTTACCTGAGATTTATGTAGCGATCTCTAGCCCCTCTAGAGGCTTTCTAGTTAGCCTCTTCAGTGCTCTTGTGTATCCAGGCTAGTTCTGCTCACATAGCATATCTATCTAAGGATAGCTGTGCTCTTTACTTGGGTGGGATGTTCCCCTTGATCTATTCGGATTCCCCCGTTTCTGCCAAGTTGCGTGAGTGGCCCATGGCGTCAGTGGCATGGCCCCTTTCTAAGGAAAGGCTTGGTGTATGTTTGTCGCTTCCTTGGTGCTCTCTCACCAGGTGGACAGGCATGCGCCGCGGCACGGCATGGTTAGATTTCTTTTCCCATTGTGCCCCCTAGAAGGGTAACGTCTCGGGTTACGCATGTAACCATGGTTCCCCGAGAGGAAATAAGATGCTGCACACCCTTGCCATGCCTTTTTCCTGCCTGTCTATGTCTCCTTCAGACAGCTAAGTGGATGACGCATTCAGCAGGTGCCCTTTAATACTTCCGGGCACCCTGCCTATGATGGGCCTGGCGTCATGGGCCATGTGGGCCAATAGATTGGCATTGTTTCACACGTGTTTCAGACACCGGTCATGCAGGCTGCATTCCCCATTGTCCCCCCTAGTGGGCGCAGCGTCTCGTTCCCTCTTGGGGGAACCATGGTTACATGCGTAACCCAAGACGTTTCCCTTACAACAAAGTAAATAGCAGTAAATGGAAATGGCAAAAAGTTCCCAGAATGCTGTTTTTTACAGTATGGTACAATTTTAATGGAAAACAGTATGTTACTGTCACTTTTTACAATGTGAGGTTAACATGTATTTAATTTTTTCCCACTGTAGACCTGATATCACTGAAAGAGGAGAGACAAGAATTGAATGAAATAGAGGAGAAGGATCAGTATGAGGAACATAGTAATTTTATAACTGGAAAAAAAACATAAAGACTGCAAAGACACGAAAAAGAGCCCAGAAGACCAAATCTAACACCTGCCATCAGTGTGGAAAGAATTTTATACATAAACAATCTCTTAAGGCCCACATGAGAATTCACACTGGAGAAAAGCCTTTCACCTGCCCTCAGTGTGGAAAGCGTTTCGGACACAAAGGGAACCTTATGAACCATATGAGAATCCACACTGGAGAGAAGCCTTTCACCTGCCAACAGTGTGGAAAGAGTTTCGGACACAAAGGGAACCTTATGAACCACATGAGAATTCATACTGGAGAGAAACCTTTCACCTGCCAACAGTGTGGAAAACATTTCACTCAAAAATGGAGCTTTTTAAATCACATGAGAATTCACACTGGAGAAAAGCCATTCACATGTGATCAATGTGGAAAGAGTTTCACACATAAAGACACCCTAAATGCTCACAGGAAGAATCACTTTGGAGAGAACAGCTGCATATGTCAGCAGTGTGGAAAGATTTTCAGTAATAAAGTAAGCTTCAAGACTCACATGAGAGTTCACACTGGAGAGAAGCCTTACACTGCAAAGACACGAAAAAGAGCCCAGAAGACCAAATCTAACACCTGCCATCAGTGTGGAAAGAGTTGCCGTGGAAAAAAAGCCCTTGAAGAACACATGAGAATTCACACTGGAGAGAAACCTTTCACCTGCCCTCAGTGTGGAAAGAGTTTCAGTCACAAATGGAACCTTACAAGCCACATGAGAATTCACACTGGAGAGAAGCCTTTCACCTGCCCTCAGTGTGGAAAGAGCTTCAGTCAAAGGGGGCACCTCATAAGCCACATGAGAATTCACACTGGAGAGAAGCCTTTCACCTGCCAACAGTGTGGAAAACATTTCACTCAAAAATGGAGCTTTTTAAATCACATGAGAATTCACACTGGAGAAAAGCCATTCACATGTGATCAATGTGGAAAGAGTTTCACACATAAAGACACCCTAAATGCTCACAGGAAGAATCACTTTGGAGAGAACAGCTGCATATGTCAGCAGTGTGGAAAGATTTTCAGTAATAAAGTAAGCTTCAAGACTCACATGAGAGTTCACACTGGAGAGAAGCCTTACACATGCTCTCAGTGTGGAAAAAGTTTCAGTCACAAATGGAACCTTACAAGCCACATGAGAATTCACACTGGAGAGAAACCTTACACATGTCAACAGTGTGGAAAGAGCTTCTCACGAAAAGAAGCTCTTAAGGGTCACATGATCGTTCACACTGGAGAGAAGCTGTTCACATGTGATCAGTGTGGAAAGAGTTTCGGACGTAAAGTAAGCCTTAATCAACATTCCTTAATTCACTTCAAGAGAGAACTGTTTTAGATGTTGTCAGTATGAAATAATTTTCACAGACAGGAAAAACCTTATGCATCATGTAATAACTGGAGAGAAGTGTGCCATCACTATCTATGTTTACCCAAATAATAAATTGGTAATCTCAACTCCTCCATGTCTTGCTCATTGCATCTGTAGCCAGGTTTCCATCCAGGGATTTTTTTTTAAATATTTAGCGCTTAAAATTGTTTACTGATATAGCTGATGGAAATGCCATTTATCGATCAAATTTCTCATGTGTCGACATTATCTTTTTCCATTTAACTTTAGTGCATAAATTCTATATTGATACTTCAAATGTCGCAAAAAATAGTTTGAAAACACTTTTTGTTGAGAAAAGTGGCTTTAACGCAAATAAATGTGGTATCACATGGCAGAATTAGCCTATAGGCAGCGTCCGTGTTCATGGTGTTGCTCACGTTAAAGCACCCTTTCCCTGTAGTTCAAAAGCACATTAAATCATATTCATATTATTAAATTGCATCTAAAATTATTTTATATTTGGTAAGAAAAAGAAGAGCTACCTCTCAAACATACTTATTTTAATTTGATGTTCCTTTATTAGCCTACGTTTACATAATTTTTTACAGTGTACTGCTCAGTTTAAATACCCTGTAGTCCATGCCGTTCAGCGTGACCACCATACCCCCGTGATATTAATATGCCAAGCACATTTTGTTTTACGTGGATATTGGAACGTGAAGTACAACATTTTAAATTAATTAGTTTTGGCTTGTTAGTAGCTTCTTATATATTTTTTTATTCTTGTTTTGTCCTGAGTTCTTTTCTACCGTTAAATTTAAAGTATTTGTTGTGGAGTAAGGGGAACTAAAATAGCATGGTTTTCAATGTTTGGCTGACTGTATTTTATTATGACAATGAACAGGCTGCATTGTCCAGTTAGTAATGCTTAACTGCGCATGTGAGGTGCCAGCACGATCACTTTTTTTTTTTCCTTATAAAAGTGGAAACAACGTACACCGTGTCTACACGGACGCAAGCGGCGCGGAAACCGTCGTGTCCGGTGTAGACACGATGTTACTATACTCCTTCATTTGTGGTCATATGAGAGTAAGACATTATTCAAAACTACTCTAAATATTCCTTTATTTGTGTTCATTCACAATAAAAACAAAACATTGTGCTTTTGTAAAATAAAAGAAACAAACAGGATGCCGCTTTCTCAAGGTATTTTTCTTGGGTCACAGCCATGTATCAATTCAAATTTCATTTAATTGTAATTTAACATAATCTTGTCGGTTAATAATGTTTTAACGAGCATCGGTTGTTGGTTAGGAGAAATAAAATAACCTCTAAAAGTTAATCAGAAAAATAATGATAGGCTAATACAACTGCACCTATTTATGAATAATGCTTGATGATCAAGTATCTAAATAGTCTATAACAAAGTACAAAAAAACAACAAAAAAAACTCGTGACACGTGTTCAAAACTATTTTATGCTGGCCTATACAATTTAATAATAGGCTATATAATAAAGTTTTGTTTCAAATGGATGAAGAACAGGCTTCTAGCCTATATAATTTACGCAATAGGTGAAATTATGTATGGAAACAGCTCAAGGGCAATTTTTTTTTGCGATACACCAAAACTTATGCGACAATTAATTTTTTTTTAGGGATGATGTCATCACACACACCATTTTATCGGTAAAAGGCCAGTTGGATGGAAAAAGGCTGTAGACAGGAATTTTCGCAAAGTTTTTTTTACGCATATTCTCTTTGTCGATAACAAAACAGCGCAAAAACTGGATGGAAACTGGGCTTGTGTTTAACAGAAACATTATTTTCTCTTACAAGAAAACGATGAAAGATCAAGTAAAGTTGCTTTCATATGGACTTGCTTCATGAAAAACTGGGAGAGAATGTAGAGTGATTTTCAAGACTGAAAAATGTTAAAAAAAAAAATAAATAGTCATGGTGGAAAGTACTTAAAGGGTTAGTTCACCCAAAAATTAAAATTAGGCTGTGTTTTACTCACCCCCGAGGCATCCTAGGTGTATATGACTTTCTTCTTTCAGACGAATCCAGTTGGAGTTATATTAAAAATTGTCTTTGATCTTTCAAGCTCTATCATTTCAGTCAGCGGGTGTTGCATTGCTTCTGTTCAAAAGACCTGAAATAAAAAGCGCTCTTCCATAAAAAAAAGTGTCTCACACGGCTCCGGGGGGTGAACAAAGGCCTTCTGTATCGATGCATTTTTGTAAGAAAAATATCCATATTCAAAACATAATAATCACTTTAATCTAGCTTGCGCCAACACAGAAGCAGCTCCGGGAGGATGACGTACGAGGTCAGCGTTGCGCAGGTGAGTCTCGTGAAAACCAACGTTTGTTTACAGGATCAAAAGAAGCAAAGTTTCCTTTAGCACACACTCTGTGTTTCTGAAACTCATCACTAAATAAGATTTATATTATAATATGTAGATATATTATTTAATATTATAAGAATAAAATATATATATTAATATTACTCTAAATATTAATCATTATGCCATGGTCTGTCTGAATACTCGATTCTGATTGGCTGGCAGGTGTTGATTAAATTCGTTTAACTGCACAGGTAGTTGCAGGTCAGTGTAATCATGTTCTATATTAATGCACTTCCTATAAACATTGGTAACCATAGTAACATACGGTTACAGTTGAATAGTAATACAGAGTGAGACAGTTACAGTAAACATTTCCGATTTACTTAGGTAAGCTAAATGGATGATTTATATGATAATATATCTACAACAGTTAAGTGTCATTTCATGACATGGTCTATCTGTAGCCACGATTTAGCTCTGAATTGGATGGGCTATGTGTAGTCTGCTTTTAGCCCACCCGGCGAAACTGAGGCAATCAGTGGTCTAATTTTAACGGCTTGGCTATAGCCCTATATCAGACCAGCGATGAGTATAGGCAAAAGTCTTAAATTCTTTGCATGTACAGCTTGTGGGATGCATGACATCATCAAAAAAGTAACCTTTTGAAACATTTTAATCAGCATTATTTTTGCTGTCACACATAACATTCATAAAATTAAAGACAGTCAAATCGTAAAATGTTTAAGTTAAAAAAACATGCACATGCAACCGTTAGATGGCAATTAGCCTTACTGAGACATGAGTACTGGCAACGCGAGACTTGAAAGTTGGTAGAGAACACTGGTGCCAGATCTCGCGATAAACATTACCGCCATTTTATTTTATCCGCGAGAGAGCATTGTCGAAGAGCAATGCGTGAGCAACGACGCCGGGCAATCAACAGGCAGACAACGGGAAAACGTTAAGGACATTCTTACTTTATTCTTGTAAGTATCTGTGTTTTCTTTTTGACGTTGTCATTCTACATTATTTGTCATCATGTGTAGGGATCGTGAAATTTTAGCGGATAACATTGTGTGGTTCGCTCAAAGGCAGGGTAGATGATTTGGTTAAAAAAAAAAAAAGTTATATAATGGTGGTTGAAGTCTCTTCACATCCCGATAGCAATCACTAAGATAAGTGGTCTAAATGGTTTTATATCATCTGTGGAGGGCTTAGGGACATAAATCATATTCCTCATTCCGAGGATTATAATTATATTATGATTAAATGGAAATATAAAAGTAGCAATTACAAAAAGAATCCGGCATTATTAAAATCATGCAAATAGTCAGCATTAAAACCAACGAACAGAACACATAATGTAATAAAAAGGGTATGGGTGAATGTATTGGTCGATGTAAGCTTAAGGTTAAAATGTATACTGGGCTGATTTTTAGTTACAGCAGCTATCACTGTGTTGTTGTTAAGCCAGACAATTTTGGAGGCAGAGACAGATTGTGGGGGGCATTATAGGGGGAAAAAAAAATCTCAGTCTGGAGGTGAGAGCCTGCGATCTGCTGGAATAAAGACTTACTGTTTTGGGTCTGACTTACTCAAATGTGGGTGGGTCTGACTTACTGTTTTGGGTTGGTGAAGGAAAATGTGCAGGTCAATGGGCATCAGTGGTTAAGGTTGGTAAACACTTGTACACTGAAGCATAATGCTACCTGGATGACATTGACGTGTTATTCAGGTGTCAAAATTGTGCAAAATAGGAGGAAGAAACATCAAAGACCGTACCTGAAGGATGCTGGACAGATGAAGCCTACAGAAAGTGCAACATTAATCAAGCATTGTGGTGTCCATACTCAATAAGTCTTTCATGTGGTCACAACACAAATTCTTTACTTATTTTGTAATGTCAGTATTTGTCCGCAATTGTTAACCATTTTATTTGTAATATATTTTAGGGTTTTGCGAAATTCTCTTATGTCCAAATTTATCATCAAGGGAGGTGGTCCGCTGCAGAAGGCAGCATTTGAAAAGACCGCTCTGTTGTCGGTCATTACAGGTATGTGCGTGCTTGTGCGTGTGCGTGATTGCATGCAAACATTGCCCAGAGAGCTTATCTCTGTGTTTAGGCTTAAAGGTGATATATAATATTTTATTTATTTATTCAACCAGTAAAAAAATTAATTATTTATTTTCTTGTGACGTCAGGCTGTTTTGATATAAATAATATAGTCTCAGTATATATTGCTTTAGAAAATATATATCTTAAAAATTCAATATTGCCCATCCCTAGTGTGCATCCAAGCAAAAGAGGATGACACCCCGTCAAAATTAATGTAATTAAAGTAAAACATGATGATGTCAAAAAAGGCTTTTCTCATGCTTTTTTTTTTTTCTTACGTGGCAGATGCCGTGATGACCAACTTCCTGACGGCAACCGAGTTAGACTTGAGCAATGCAATCAGGGAGCATTTTAAACAAGCACCAGGGAGAGCGGGGCGGGGGGGGGTATCGAAATAAAAATAACAGTTAATCACTTCACTCTTGATAGATTTATTATTTTTACATCTCTGAAGTAATGTAAAAATATTGGTTGTCATTCTTTATGTAGTTAAATTTTTCCTTTTTTCAAAATCTTTATTTAATTTCATTGTATTTATAATTTGTCCTTGTCACAATTTTGTCATTATTTCTTATATATTTCTCATTTTGTATTATACAGTATTGTTTCAAGTTTTCAGTATTGTTAAAAATTTTGTTTT